GTTTTTCAGTATTCAGACTATGCCACCAAGTTTTTTGTTTATGGAATTGCACTTTTATCATTTCCATTTTTGTTTGTTTTTGATGAAGGCATGTCGTTCATTTCATTTTATTATTATTATTTTACAATCATGTTACTGACAAATGCATTTGGCCTTCTTTTCTACAACTTGCTTCGTGCAGTTTAGGTGATTTAGTGTTCAATTATAGCTTTGATGGCATCGAATAAAATTATTACTTCTTGGTCTCATTGTTGTGTTATGGAATTTTGATGCCCGGTGCAGTTGTATAATGGTCGTCTTTTATATTACTTCCTTGTCTCATTAAATTTATCTTTTTTAATTTTAAAATTATCCCATTTAAAATTTCTTATCAATAAACAACAATATTTATATTTTATTTTTTATCTTTATATGTCACATTTTTTTATATTTATCAAAATAAATTTATCAAATTTATCAATTAATTTTTAAGGATAATTTTGTCATTTTTTCATTTTATGTAAATAGTTTAACGCGTGGTCAAACATTGTGTTTGGTCAACATGAGACAAAAATAATGAGAAGAAGGGTGTTGTATAATCTCAATTTCCTTTAACTCATCAAACTACTACCACTTGAATTAACTTGTTGGTTCTCTTTTCATCTTTCAATCAATAGAATTTTTGACACTTCGGGTTGTGTCTCCAATTTCTTGTTTTTGAAATATGAATTCCATCTTTGATGTGAGCTTTCTTTTTGATTGTCAAGAGTTGGTGTGGGGTCTTCAAGACTTCTCTCTTCTTTCCTGAAACTTTACACAATAGTATCTGCAAACTTTATGCAATAGTTCCTGTGCATTTGAAATTGTAGATTTCCATATTACAGTGCAGATCAGCTGAACTGGTGGTAACGAGGACAATTCTTAATAAGAAAAACTTCGGGGGTTACTTGTATACTAAGCCTAATAAAAATAGAGGTGATCGAGTCTTAACTTAGCACCTTCTGAAATAAACTGGTTTGTATGTGCTCGTGTAATTTTGTTCAAGTGACACTGGTAGTGTCTATATGAGTATGTTAAGTCATCATTTGACGGTGAAAATTGCAAATGTTGCTAACGTTAGGGATATTAATCCAAAATACTTATTGGCAACTTGTATATTAAGCCTAATAAAAGTAAGGGATAATATTACTCCAAATACTTCAGTTGGGCTTAGCATTTCTGTTTCTGCTGCTAGTAGCTCTTTATACGCTGTTGAAGAAGACAGATAGTGGGAGCAATGGCACGCTGAAGAGAAAAACCTGTGAAGGAAGAGGCTCAGGATTTGGAAGTGGAGTACCGGAAGCTGAAAAGAACAAGTTTTTCTTTGAAATCCGCTCTTTCAACTTCGATCTTGAGGATTTGTTGAAGGCTTCAACTGAGATTCTTGGTAAGCTGAGGTTATGGAATCACATATAAAGCTGCATTGAAGGCTGAGCACATTCATGCGGAGGGTGGTGGTAACTGCATCCATGGAAACATCAAGTCCTCGAACCTCAGCAATGAACTCGAGGCTCGTGTCTGATGTTGGATTGGCTTCTTTAATGAATGTTCCTGTAATCATGTTCAGTATCGTTGGATATCATCCTCTAGAGGTGATTGAACCACTCAAAGCAACTCAAAAGTCCGATGTTTACAGCTTTGGTGTCTCCTTCTGGATCGTGATGGTGTGGTTGATCTTCCAAGACCAGTCCATTCTATCGTGCAGGAGGAATGGACTGCTGAAGTCTTCGATGTGGAGGTGTTGATGTTCAAAGGTTTTCTAGAGGAGATGGTACAAATGCTTCAGATTGCACTAGCATGTTGCGGAGGTAAGCCTGGGCTACCTTGGCCATGCCCTCCTATGCGAAGAGAAGACATTTATAATTCTAATTCTAATTCTACTTATAATCCTATAATTCTAATTACATTTAATTTTAATTTTAAATTATAATTATATTTAGTTTTAACTTTTAATTATAATTCTTCTTAATTAAAATTAAATTAATTAAAGGCCTATTTAATTTTAATTTAACTATAATTTTACCTCTTTAAAATCTTAAATTAAGAGTTGTCTACTTGTAACTTATATAATATTATGCTATCTCTTTCTTATTTATTTATTTATTTATATTTTGTGCTTTTCAAATTCAAAGAGTTCTTTTTAAAGCTCGAAGGCAATCAAATATCTTAATTGAAATTTTGAGTTTTTGATGTTCTTCAACAGGTTTCTTATTACTTTTTTTTTGAACTTTTATGTTGTTTATTTAGCATATTTTTCAACATTACCTACAAGATTATAATAAAAATTAAAAGGTATTCCTCATATCTTATTTTAGTCAATTAAAATTAATCATTATTTTTTATCTCGATCATAGATGAGTTTAGTTCTATGAAAAGGAGAGTTCATCTTAATTGATGAAAACATTATATTTCGGACTATGTATTTATATTTTTGCTTAATTTTTAAACATTTTTTGGATCATGTAATTATACTAGTTTTAATTATTAAATTTTTAAATTGAAAGAATATATATGAGAATTATATTAGATTATTATTTTTATTATATTTATATTGGGAAGTATCATTTTCACAAACCCGACGAGGAGCCAATAGAATAGCAGAATGGTTAGCTAAACTAGTACGACAAGATGATTTTGAAGGCATTGTCTTCCAAGAACCCCCAAGAATAATCCTTCCCCATCTCCAGAAGGAAAGCTCGGCCAATAGGCAACATTAGATTAGTTACAGAATAGCTTAGCTCTTTATTTACCCCAAAAAAAAATGGGCATGCTCAACACTTACATAAGTTTGCCTCCTTTAAGATAAAATAATGCGTTCGTTCTTGCGAGAAGTTGCGTCTGCAGGGACCGTGTGCGTTGTCAATATATGTTAAGCAAGTTATGGACAAATACTATCTTGTAACTATCCTAGACTGTTAAAAAGTTGTATGATTTCTTTAAGAATATGTAGTAAAAGATAATATTATTTTTTTAGAGATTTACGATTCGAAAAGTTACATTTACAGGATTTATACATTATCAATAATAGGAATAAATTTGAATATATATTACATTGTTATGATTTCATGATATTTAAAAATAAGTATGATTTCAAATTTGAAATTGTAAAATCAACCAAATTTGAAATTGTTTTTTAAAACAAAAATGTAATTATGTTTGATATGAAAGACAAACGATTGAATTTAAACAAATATATAAAAATCCACTTATTTTCGTTTACTTTTTTATGGGAAAAAAATTCTCTTACCAAACCAAAGGAAAACAGAAACAATTTTTGTTTTCTTTTGTGTCACCAAACACAAAGTGAAATCGTTAAGCTTAAGCTTTCATCAGGGGGTGGCTTAGTGGCTTTCGTGAACAACCAGATCGCATATTCCAATTATAAGCAAATAGCAATAATGACACGATCTAATTATGGATGTTGTACCAAACAAATATTTACCAAAATATAAACGAATAAGATAATGCTTCTTTATTGAATTTCAATTATAATAAGACCCCAAGAAAATTTCAAAAATGATATAAACTAAAATATTTTTTTTAACAGTATGAAATAGTGTTTCTAAACGAAAGGAAAAAAGAGAGAGGGGAGTATAAGATATAATCAATTAATATAAGATTAAAAAAAGATTATAATCGGTTGTAATTGAAAAATAAAAAATAATAGTTTCTTTTTTTAACAAAATGAAATGTTGTTTCTAAACGAAATGAAAAAAAGAGGAGAGTATAAGATATAACCGATTAATATAAGATTTAAAAAAGATTACAATCGGTTATAATTGAAAATTTTATTAAGTGCATAACTCTTTAGAGTAGATTGTGCAACATTTTAAATTGAAATAAAAGATAATGTGTCCTCCATAACAAATCATCGAAATTGTATAATTGTTCTGGTTGTAACATAAAAAGTTACCTAAAATTATAAGTTCTAATTATTATCAATTGTGTAATTTTTTAGAGTAGACAATGTAACATTTTAGGTTTAAGTTCTAACTGGTTGTAACATTTTTATAGTAGAGTACATGCTGGCTACCTTGTTTTGCCGTCGACGAAGTTCCACCCAACCTGCCCTTCCCCCGAAAACTAAAACCTCATATCGTGATCGATCGACGACGAATCAACGTTTTGTATCCTGCGAACCCTAGGATAAAAATCGCGATCCCACGCGATTCTGGCGGCCAATCGACGGAAATTACAACAAAGTATGAGTATGAGGATTTCAGGGACTTTGTCGGTGGCGGTGATCGTGGTCAGAAAGGGCGGTGACGGCGAATTAAGGTTAGGATTTGTGATTTTGGGGCCGTTTTATAATATAAGAAAAATTAGTTTTTTATATATAAATAACATAATATTTTAAATATTTTAAAAAATAAAATTCAAAATCACCAAATTGTGACACATGTCACTTAACGGGAGAAATTAACACCGTTGACTGCCCGGGCACCTAAATAGGTAACGTTTAGAACGTTAGACACCTAGATGAATCAAAAAATAATTTAGGCACCTATTTAGAAAAAGTAATATAATTTAGGTACTTATTTTAGTATTAAGCATTTTATATAGTAATATCGATAACAAATGAACTATAGTTGGAGCATATAAGTTGCAAATATCATAATCACATACATGATGATAAATGATAGAGATGATCATTCTAAAATTTTAAATTTTTATACCTTAGATATATTTTTATTAATAATTTATTTTTTGTTTCTTATAAAATTTATAGGTTTATTTTCTTTAAAAGATTATAAGTTTACTCTTCAATATAAAATTCTACATCAATTCTCGATCATATTCACGATGATAATAGAAGATGATGTGTCCTAAATATTTTGTAAAATAGATGTACGTAAATACAGATGTACCTTGTACGAATTATCCTCTTATACAAACTATTTTTTTTGCATATCTTGGAAGAGAGAAAATAGGGGAACTTCATTCGTTGAATCCTAAGGAGCTGCAGAACCTTTGGAGGAGTGCAGAGTCTGCTTCATATGGCATGAGTTTTGGTGCTTGTTTTTGTGGCCTTGAGTTCTGTAGCATTAGCTTGTGCAGCAGCCTTTGCCAGTGTTGTGGGTTTTAAAACACTCTTGGGGTTAAGAGCCTTTCTTATCTTGAAGACTGCCCATGCAGTCCCAATTGCATGTCCTGCCGCATCAAGCCCTTCATTTGTTGCCTCTCCTGCCTTCTCCCCATACCTACAAACATTTCCAAAACATGTCAAAGGTCCTGTACCCATATCATCAACTTCGCATTTAGTCACCCTCATCCATTCGTTCTCGTTTTTATTACCTTATTATTTGTTTTTTTCAAAATCATACACAGCGTTATGTTTTTTATCATCCATTGTTAAAATATAAATAGAAATATTAATGTGACGATTCTTTTAATTTTGTTCGAAGATATTGTGGCACTACTCACGCCAGCATTTTAATGACAGATGATCAAAACAGAACTAAGATATAAATTAAATATGATTTTAGAAATGAAAATAATATGATGATTAAAACAAAACAACACAAATAGATGAATAACTTGGTGGATGAGTAAATACTAAATACGTAGATTACATTAATTTTAATAAAGAACACACCTTTGTGAAACAAGTCCTGTTGTTACAAGAGATGAGGTAGACATGACGTTCCTTCCAGCTACTTCAACAGCATCGCAAACCTTATCTAAGTGTACAACAGGGGGGGGGAGGTAAGAAATCATGTTTTTGCAGTTTCTATAAGATGAGAGGAAACAACTTACTAAATCCATCCAAGGAAGCAAGAACGATTTCCCCAGGCAGCAGGTTGAAAAATCTCTTCCCAACTTTGGAGTTAACAATTGACCCTGTGAAGAATTCGGACATTTTCACCACTCCAGCAAGAATTCCAGTGGCCACTTCCTCTGACATCTTTGTTAACTTATTAACCCTGAAACCAACCGGTATTCGATCGAATCGAGTAAAAAAAGTTAAATCAGCTTAGAATTTGAATCGACAAAACACACCTTTTCATCCTTCTCAAGGCCACTGATCTGATCTCTGAGGTTGAACCTGGCTTCATCCTCGTACTCAAGAACACATTGCCCCATTTCAACCCATCAACAGTGACATCACCGCCCCACAAAACTCCCTTGGCAATGTACCCTGACCCTGAAGCAATTGCCCTTGCTAGAGACCCGCTATAGTCTTCAACGTTGGGCGCCAGTGTCGTCCAATATGCCATTGAACTTCCCACGATCAAGTCCCTTTCTTCCTTCCAATCCAAATCTTCAGGCGCCACATTTCTCGTGTCCACAGGCTTCAAGTTCCCTATCCCTTTAACTTCATGCACCGAGAAACAACTGTAGGTCTCCAAGAGTCCATCCAGGTCCTTCAACAAACCCTCCTGCCCTTTCGAAGCAATCGTCAAGCCATAGTTCAAAACCTCCTCGATTTGGTTAGAATCTTCGCCACCTTCATCGGAGGGCACTCGAAGAGTGAAAAAATAGTGGGAAGTATCGAGCTTAACAACAGGCTCATCTTTAGCCAAAGGCCACTGAATATCATCACCGACACGAGCAAAAACGGCTATATGGTTGCCGCTTTGGAGGAGGCGAACAATAGAGAGCTCACCATAAGCGAGCTCTACGCTGGTTTGTGGTTCGATAAGGTGGACCATGGCACCAGGGACCTTGAGGAGGAGTTGTTCTTCGGAATCTTGGAGGGTGGCGCCTTTTGGGAAGAGATTTTCGGGTAAATCTTTCATGTCCAACTGAAGATGAAGACTTGAGAGGATCTTCTGTTTGAGTTGCTTTGATCAGTTTTGCTTAATGGAGGGGATTTTAAGGTGAGACATACTTAGAGACGAAGAAGCAAAACCCATACGAAGGCGTGTCGGTTTGGGTTTAGATAGGCCAGTGGCATATGGCACTCATACGAGAAACCGCCTCACAACATTCGCAACATATAACTGTCCATTTTTTAAGTAATATGAGTTCAAATGGACTCTGTCAACACTTAATTTAATGTCCAAGGGCAATATAGCATAATGTAATATCACAATTTGATAATATATATCAAAGTATATCTTATTCGAGCCTTAAGCTCCATTCTTGGTCTAGATTACACATCGAACTCCATTTACACATGCTCATCATATAGAAATCTTAGACTTTAGTTTCAAAGACTTAGGGCATGTTTGGTTTTAAGAAATAAAGATTATTTTTATTTTATTAGAAAATAGAAAACATTGATAAAAATGCGTGTGATGAAAAATTTAAAAAATATTTTTTGAAAAATGAAACAAATAATAGTAAAAACTGAAAAACATAAAAAATGATCACTATTTTACTAAAAACTTATTTTCAAAATTTAGAAAATGAAAAAAGAACGGTTACACATCGAAAGCATGTTGTACGGTGTATAGTTTTATGGATAAACTATACAAATAGTCACTAAAGTTTTAGTAAGTTTTTGTTGTCTCCGTTGAAATTTCAAAAGTAACAAATTTGTCACTAACGTTATCAATTTCTAACAAATTGGTTACTCTTCGTTAACGGTCGTTACTGGGTTAACGAAACGCTGACATGTTGCGTTAAATTGGTGACCTGGAATGTTTTTATCTCATATTTGACTCTAAAATGTTTGATCGATGTTTTTCTTCTCTCTCTTTCTTCTTCACTCACCATGCAGCCACCACCATGAAAAGGAGTGTTGCAAAACTCACCGATGCAACTACTGATGACAGGTGACCCTTTGTAATTGCAAGTCCAGCATTAACTAAACTGGCCGTAATGCGAATTCATCTGTCCTTGATTATTTCTATAGAGGAAGGGAATGATGGATTGAAGAGGTAAGCTTCTTCATTTCTTTCCATTTGTTGCACTCTCTAATCTTTTATATCATTGGTTCCCTTTCTCTTCCTATCTGACACTTCTTTGGCATCCTTTACCTTTACTTGAACTTACAAACTTCTCTCATAGCAGTTGCAGAGGCCAGACCATAACAGCGGTGCTCGCATCTATCTCAACATCGAAGAAAGGAGGTGAACTATGATCCATTCGAACATATAGAGTAAACGCAAAAAATTCTTTATAGTCTGCAGAAACTTATACTGTATATAGAAAATATTAACCATATTGACAGGCAAAGCCTCCTACCACAAAATTACTTTTAGCAGTCCAACTCAACTAACCACATTAATATAAGTTAAGATGCATGGAGATTTATATGTACTTCTCTTATTATCGGTAAAGAAAGGAAATCAGAAGTAGAAATCCCAATTATCATGAAATTTCAATGCTAATAATGAGTCATCAAGGGCCAAAAAGGAAAGCTCACACAACTGCACAACTACCGCACCAGCTAAAGCTAATATTACCCCACTAATGTTCATAATCTGTTATAAGAGGATATAACAAGTATATATGCAATATGTTTAAGTAAAATAACTAACCTAGTTATTAAGTACAAGAATAACATAATCAAGCAGAAGTTAATACACCGTTAGCACGAGGATAAAAAGAGATGGAATAAAGAAGATGACATTCATCTGTATTGAAACTGCAACACTACACATAAAAAAGAGAGAAAGTAAGATCAACTTCTTTCATATTCCTTCTTAAAATGGAATAAAAATTTGCTTTGATAAAGTAAGATACTTGTAATGCCTCGAATCCCGTGTTAGTAGTTCGGGTTAACCCGAAGCCTAAAGTTGAGCCCAATTAGATCCAATTTAGTGTTATTGGGCTTGAGTTGGGCCTAAGAGTTAGTTGGTAAGAGTTGAATGACTTATTAATTAGAAAATAGAGAGACTAAAAGTGCAATTTACCCAATTCCTAATTCAAAAGCTGAAACTCCCCTATTTTTATGAGATATACGTGAACAACTCCCCATTTTCCACCAAACACTCGTCTTCTTCTTTCATCTTTTCTCTTTTCTTTTCCTTTCCCATCTTCAAGTTGATGGATTTAAGACTTCAAGTTTAGTTTGGAACCCTCACCCTTCAAGCTTCATTTAAAGTTCCATTTCACTAGTTTTTATTCATAGAGAAAAAAATGAGTTTTGAGAGGTTTGTGAAAATCTTTGGATTCTATCTATGTTTTGGATATTAAGGAGTTATTTAGAATATATCCAACCTCTAGATGGATTAGTAATCCATTTTCTTACCTTGTTTAGTAGGAAGTGGGAGAGAGTTCCAAATCAAAAGGCAAAAAAAATTTGAGCATTTGTTGGGTTGAGGAGAGTTGTTGCCACCAAGTAATCAAGGTAACGCCTTTAAAACTCTTCTATACTCTTAGTGAGTCTTAGAAGTTTAAAATAGTTTAAATGGTTGAGTTGAGCATGATAAGCATTTTCATGGTGAAATTCTTATTTAGAGTTATAAATATGTTTAAAGCCTCTACTATGATCCTTGTTGGTCAAATAAAACTTTAAGCATGTTTGGGGACCTCACTAAGGTCTTTGGGATTGAAGTATAGCATTTTTAGTATGTGTTTTATGATTTCTGCAGGTATACTATCGATACTATTGGGAATGGTTTTCAGAACCGGACCGGTTAGCGAACCGGTCATGCTACCGGTTCACTGGTTCAACCGATCGAACCGGTCCTACCGGTCGGAAGAACCGGACGACGTCATAATTATTTAAAAAATTAAATAAAAATACCAAAAATATTTAATAAAAAATAATTTTTTATATCACAAGTCATAATATATATAAATTAAAAACCATAAAATCAAGTGAAACAAAATGATTCAAATTAACTACAACATAATATTTAAGGTAAAACATATTAAATAATAAATATAATTATATAACTATAATTAAAAAATAAATTTGGGGCTAAAAAAATCATAACAAAATGATATTGTTTGGTTTAATTTTTTTTTAAAAAAACAATCTCACATGGCTAAGAAACATAGAAGAGCATCCCAAAGGTCTAAAGAGTAAAAATATGAGAACAAAACAATCCCACATTGCTAAGAAACATAGAAGAGCATCACAACTAACTTCTATAAATAATAGATGTAATTTGACATTCAAAATCATGTAGCCTTTTGGTGAGCATTGAGTGAATTATTTTTTCACTTCAAGTTTAGTTTGGAACCCCACCCTTCAGCTTCATTTAAAGTTCCATTTCACTAGTTTTTATTCATAGTGAAAAAAATGAGTTTTGAGAGGTTTGTGAAAATCTTTGGATTCTATCTATGTTTTGGATATTAAGGAGTTATTTAGAATATATTCAACCTCTAGATGGATTAGTAATCCATTTTCTTACCTTGTTTAGTAGGAAGTGGGAGAGAGTTCCAAATCAAAAGGCAAAGAAAATTTGAGCATTTGTTGGGTTGAGGAGAGTTGTTGCCACTAAGTAATCAAGGTAACGCTTTTACAACTCTTCTATACTCTTAGTGAGTCTTAGAAGTTTAAAATAGTTTAAATGGTTGAGTTGAGCATGATAAGCATTTTCATGGTGAAATTCTTATTTAGAGTTATAATATGTTTAAAACCTCTACTATGACCCTTGTTGGTCAAATAAAACTTTAAGCATGTTTGGGGACCTCACTAAGGTCTTTGGGATTGAAGTATAGCATTTTAGTATGTGTTTTATGATTTCTGCAGGTATACTATCGATACTATTGGGATAGTATCGATACTTGTTCTTCGTTTTGGGCAAATTCGTGAGTTTCTGGGCAATAGTATTGATACTCTTTCAAGAATGTTGATACTTATATAAAGTATCGAAAGTTTTGCAGGAGTATGGATACTCTTGGGCTAGTATCGATACTTTCAATCTGTTTTGGGCAAAAATGTCAGTTTTTAAGGGAATTAGACTCGAGGTACCCCCAACACTTCATTATATCATCAAATAAGACTACAAGTGAAAATATTAATGATATTAATTACACTAAAAAACAAGATTCAATTAGGATGACATAAAAATATCCTTGGATGATGCTTATGAAACGATTAGGACACCTGAGTTCCTTTAGAAAATGCTAGCATTATCGAAAGTATAGTTTCAGTCGGATATATCCTTAGGTAGTGCGCGAGGCACTTAAAGCTAACTAGCTTGGGCACAAGGTCCAATACTCAAGGAGTGGGCTAGTCGAGGGGGTTGACTGGTGCAGAGATTCCAGGCAACCAACCTTGGTAGACTAGAGGGGTGTGTGAACTTCGAGATGCAAAACCCTCAGCTACACCAAGATGTCTACCATAGAGTAGAGAGTGCAGTATACGAGTATACTCACTATTTCAGTTTATCAGTTTGCTAGAGCATGTCATTAACACTTTTAGTTTGGCTTAGTTGTTAGTGTGACACTGGACTAGTTAGCTCAACATTTGGAATTTGTTTCCTTACGCAGTCTAGTCGAGGAGCAATCCGAGGACTTTTTGACAATAGTGATTCAAACCCAGATAGTGCAAAGTACATCTCGAGTTCATCTTTAGAGGGCATGTATAATTATAAACCCTAATTGTATATTTTTATATGAGCAGTAATTCATTTTAAACTATGATCTGTATGATTTAAATTGTAGTTGATTTATTTTAGCATGAGTGGTTACAAATGGTCATTTTAAAAGGAAAAATTTAAAAGAAAATTTTGGTTAGCCACTCCAGTGGTTCCGTGTGGCATTCTGATCAGTCGACTGTGTGTCGTACTGATTTAGGGTGTTACAATACTACCTAAAAACAATCAAGCCATATTGTCATCACTAAAAAAGAATAGATGCCATTGCAGCATGGAGGAATTTCATTGCAAAACAGTCATTAAACAAACGAAGCACAAATATTGAGTGAACTCGCTTTGAAAGAAAAGCAAGTTAAGAGCGACCACCATGGAAGCTGCAAGACGTTTTAAGAACAGTAAATGCTAATAAAAAAAAGGAAGCACTAATATAAGCTCTTATAAAGAATTTGTTGCGTTTATTCTAGATCTTCGAATGGGTCATAGTTTACCTCATTTCTTTGATGTTGAGATAGATGCAAACTTAACTGTTGTGGCCTGGCCTCTGCAGCTGCTATGAAAGAAGTTATGGGCAAAATTTAAGTAAAGTTGAAGAATGCCAAAGAAATACTAGTGAGGAAGAGAGGGGAACCACTGATATAAAGATAAGAGAGTGCAGTAAATGTACATAAGGAAGCTTACCTCTTTAATCCATGGTTTTCAGAACCGGACCGGTTAGCGAACCGGTCATACTACTGGTTTACTGGTCGAACCGATTCGACCGGTCAGAAGAACCGGACGACGTCATAATTATTTAAAAAATTAAATAAAAATACTAAAAATATTTAATAAAAAATAATTTTGTATATCACAAGTCATATTCAAAGCAAGTCATAGCATATATAAGTTAAAAACCATAAAATCAAGGTGAAACAAAATGATTCAAATTAACTACAATATAATATTTAAGGTAAAACATATTAAATAATAAATATAACTATATAACTATAATTAAAAAATAAATTTGGGGCTAAAAAAATCATAATAAAATGATATTGTTTGGTTTAATTTTTTTTAAAAACAATCCTACATGGCTAAGAAACATAGAAGAACATCCCAAAAGTCTAAAGAGTAAAAATATGAGAACAAAACAATCCCACATGGCTAAGAAACATAGAAGAGCATCCCAACTAACTTCTATAAATAATAGATGTAATTTGACATTCAAAATCATGGAGCCTTTTGGTGAGCATAGAGTGAACATTCTTTCACTTCAATCAAGCTCGAATTTTAGGCTTCAATCGAGCTTCTAAATTTTTTTTAGTTCAAGCCTTTTCGAGTTCAAGTTTTAATATTATATTTCGAGTTCGAGTTGAACTTGATAATTTTTAGTTCGTGAGTTTGAGTCGAGTTGAGCTTACTTTTAAAGTTTGAGTTGAGCTTAGCAATACTCGAGTTCGACTTAGCTCGTTTAACAAACGACGTCGTTTGGTTTAATTTTTTTTTAAAAAAAAACAAATTTTCGATTTTTTCCGGTTTTCAGCCGGTCCGGTTCGAACGGTTCAGCAGTTCCGGCCGGTTCATTAGTAACGATTCAACCGGTGTAGTTTGAACCGGACTAGACAGCGGTTCCCGGTTGAACCGGACTAGACAGCGGTTCCTGGTTGAACCGGACTAGACAACGGTTCCCGGTTGAACCGGCCGATCCGATCCGATTTTCAAAACACTGCTTTAATCCACTATTCTCTGCCTCGATAGAAATAATCAAGTACTAAATGCTTAAGGATGGGATTTGCATTACGACCAACTTAGTTAAAGCTGGACTCACAACTTTGAAGGGCCACCGGTCATCAACTGTTGCACTTGTGAGTTTTGCAATACTCCTCTTCATGGTGATGGTTGCATGGTGAGTGAAAAAAAGGAGAGAGAAGAAAAACGTCGGTCAAACGTTTTGGGGAGTCAAATGTCTGGTAAAACATTCTAGGTCATCGGTTTAACGTGTCACATCAACATTTTGTTACCTCAGTAACGACCGTTAACGGAAAGTGACTGATTTGTTACAAATCGATAATGGACCAATTTGTTACTTTTGAAACTTCAGTGGAAAAATGAAAACTTACTCAAACTTTAGTGACCATTTGTATAGTTTACCCTTTTATTAAATTGGAAGATGAAATGGACGAGTCATTTGGAGAGGGTGAAAGAGAAAATGAGTAAGAATTTGATGATGAGAGAAGCAACTTCATCGAATTCAAAGTAGGACTCAAGTTAGAGAAGACATTGCTACATCGTTATGAATTAATTATAGACCTAATTGGAAATCTAAGATAAATGTACTTTTTTTTATTGATTTCAAAATTTTCATTTGTTTAATCATATTTATTGGTATATTTTTCTAATAACTATATTTAAATTTAATAATTATTTTTTATTTATATTTTAAAAGATTAGTTACCAAAAATATATTTATTATTTTCACTTTTGAAAATAAATTTTCATTTCTTTTAACTAAACATGTTTTTTAATTTTTAGAAAAATGAAAATGAAAATTGTTTTTTTGAAAATAAAAACAACAAAAAAATAAAAAATATTTTCTAGAACTAAGCAAACCACTAATCACTTACATTTAAAAACACATTAAGCATAGTCGATGGTATTTGACAACAACACACAAGCAATTCATTAACCATAATCAAGCTTACCACACGTGAAATCGCCATCCAACATTACTTTAATTGAGCTATTCATGAGTGCCTTGGGCGTCAAAATCATTATTAGAAATTAATTCGTAATAACTAACTTGACACCAGAATCTAAGAAGACCACACTCACCAAAAATCTGAGATTACTGAGGGTCCCAAATCACCACACCAATCTCAATAGCTTTCGACTTTCTTTTTAGATTAGTAATTTCTTCAACCGAATGCTTGTCTAACAACTCAACATTATACAATTATCAATAAATCCTAAAATGTTTCTCTTTTTGGCATATCTATAATGTTGAATTGAACTAGAATTTTAGCTCAAGCTGCTGACTATTATGTGGGGAGCTCCTCAACGCTTCATTTAACTTGAGTATTGTCTTTTAAACACGTCGCAAAATTTAAGGGATAAAATTCGAGTATATTATTGTTTGGCACGTGTTTGGGTCTTGAGTCTAATGAAGAAGACAATCTTCTTTGAGGCCTTCAAATAGGTTTTTATCTTATTTGTCGTTGTTTGTTAGCGAAAATGTTAGATTTAATTACTTGTCTTGCTATTCAGAGATGATTCTATTTTACAAGAAGATACATATTAAATCTTGAATTTAACTAGGATAAGAGAAGATAAGCTTATTTGAGGGCTTGAAATAAGGGAATTACCTTCTTTATCGTATCAATTCACCTAAATATTGATTTAATTCATGATCAAGCTATTCAGTCGGATGGTTCCATTTTAATGAGTACATAAAAATATCGAATCCTAAGAGGGAAGAGGATAAACTTGTTTGAAGAATTGAATAGAGTTTTACTTGCTTCATTTTGTATTTACATAGAAATTTGATTTTAGTTCATGTCCAAGCTATTCCAATTCAATTAGGTGGTTAATTTAGAATGAAAATTTATTCAATATTTGCGTGTTATATAAATAATATTTTATTATAATTTACTTGATTTTTACTACTATTGTTTGATAAAAAGCAAGAGCCCAAAATGTATGCATCGGGTTTTGGTTACTGGGTCTCAAACCAAATTGTGATTTTGGGGCTCCAACTCCAAGTCTAACTCTTCCCAATCCATAGCCAGAAGAAGAATAAGAACTTCCTCTGTAACTGCAGCCGGGGTAAGCAAAGCCAAGTATTCTCGCAATCTTTCTCAAGGCTATTCTACTTGGTATAGGTTTAGAAGAGTTTTTAGTGGCTCAATTTCCATGTAATTTTGCTTCCTGTCTTCATATTTTGGTTGTTGATTATAACAACCTATTATTGCATATTGCGCGTTAACCCTAACAGTTCATGCAAAGTGGAATCGCAGATGGAAGCAGTGAAGGTTGAAGATTTTGGGCCTGAATCAGAAGTGGAGGATTTAGGGCGATATGTTGATAAAATATCCACCATTGTCAATGGGGTATTTTTCTTTATGAAATTTATAATCTAATCCCCACGTCAGGGCTCCTATACAGCTCACATGTTCAGATATTATTCTTTCTGTTTAGCATCGAGTTACTTTCTTTAGAGTGCAAGTTAATTTCAAATTGGACAACTGGGAGCTAGTATCTGAATATATTTTGTAATGTATTTCAGATTTCATGGATGGCTGTCGCAAGTTTGTTATTGTATTTCATCATGGATATATTGTCAATTTGTTATCGCTGTTTTTAGCAGCTTTTTGTTTTGCCCGTAATGTCCTGCTAACGTTGCTACATATTTATATAGTCCTGAATTTTGCAGCTTGCACATAAACTTGCATCTTTGCATTATTGATTAGAACTATATTGAACTTGCAGCTCGAGAAAAGGGTCAATGATGTTGAACATCTGTACTTGACTACGGACAATATGGAGTTGACTGTTACCAAATGTAATTCAGCTTGTAAGGAAAAAGTCAAGGAAAAACAGCTTACCGGCATTGAGAAGCGGCGGCAAGAAGCATCACATAGAGAAGCTGCTTCTATGAAGAGAATGCAGGAACTTATGCGCCAATTTACCACAATTTTACGGCAGGTAAGCATGAATAAATTTTTGTTTCATTTAGAGGTTTTGATCATATGGTCCAGTTCCACCATCTTGAAAGTCTTTGTATTTTTCCCTCCTTCCTTATAGATATCAATTTTGTTCTTCTAAAATGTTTTCTTAAATTTTCTGATTAAAACTTATTAATCTGTACCTAGTCGAGGCCAAAGAAAATTGAGTTTTTATCAGAAAAATTTCAAAGAATGTTTTAAGACGTTGTCTTGGTATTACAAGAATGGCAGGTGATTCTTTTATTTGGATGATGTATAAACTTCTCTTACAGATGGTTGACATGTCAAATGTCTTTTTGGAAGTTTTGCCCTTTAAGCCAGCACGGTATGCTGGAGCTTGATTCTTCATCATTTTTCTATCTTTGCTCTCTCTTTTCCTAATAATTTTTCTTCTTTTAGGGGGAACTTTTTACCAATTCTTATGTTGGATTATAGTTACCACAGCTATCCACACAGTTAATTTTTTTCCTCATAATAAACTCTATACTATAGCAATCATCCTTCTTGCCAATTTCATCTAGGTGGATGAATGCTTTTAGATGCAGATCATAAAACAGAAAACTTAGATTTTAAAATTTATTTATAAAAGCTTGAAGGTTTCACACCACAAACACACAATCCCCCAACCCCACCCCACCCTCAAAAGAAGAAGAAGGGAATTTTCATTTTAAATATTATTATATTTGTTGCAAATCAATAAAATTTTGAATATATACTTCCCATTCCTGTAATTGCATGAAAAGTAATGCATTCATCCCTCAAAATTAAACTATTTTTGTTGAAAATTAATGGAGTCAGCATTTTAAAATGTAAGCATCATTGCTGATTCTTAGTCATAATTTATGGTTAATTTCAATTGTACTTTCCGTTTGTCAGATAACACAGCACAAATGGGCACATCCTTTTATGCATCCAGTTGATGTTGAAGGTCTTGGGTTGCATGACTATTATGAGGTAAAGCTTATTTATTGTTTCAATAGTTTCTGATTGGTTTTCTCATTTATAAGGCATACTTTCTGTTTTCATTGGCCTTTATATTTGACTCTTTTCCTTGCTTTAGAAATTCACTGTTACTAATTTTTCTTATACACATGTACATAAAGACCTTTCACTAATCCTTATTTCTGAAATTTTGATTGTTTAATTTATTTATTCCTAAATATGTATGCTTTAACTGATGCATCTTAAGGTTGTGCATTTTAGGTAGTTCAGAAGCCTATGGACTTTGGTACAATAAAAAGCAAGATGGAGGCTAAGGATTGTACTGGGTACAAGAATGTACGTGAAATTTATTCCGATGTTAGATTGGTTTTTAAGAATGCCATGAAATACAATGATGAAAGACATGATGTTCACATAATGGCCAAAACTTTATTGGAAAAATTTGAGGAGAAGTGGCTGCAACTTTTGCCTAAAGTGGCCGAGGAGGTAAGCCTGTATTTGGGTGTAGGAACCTTCCACCAGTAAATGGTTGATGATTTATTAAACATGTTTTCATTAGTCTTTAAATTCTGCTTCAAACATGTGTAAGTTCACTTGCTTAAATTTATATGCAGGAGAAAAGACTGGTCGAGGAGGAAGCAAAAGCAGAGCTAGATGTGAAGCTGGCACAAGAGATAGTTCATTCTAACATGGCCAAAGAGTTGAGCAACGAAGTATGTAAAATGACAAGACTCTTGCATAAGAAAACTAAATTGGAAGAATGCATCTAACCTTCATTTTTTTTTACCAATTCTCATCCATAAACTCTGAACAATATTATTGTCAATTCTTTCAGCTTTGTGCGGTCGATTTGCAATTGGAGAAACTCAGACAGATAGTCATTCAGAAATGCAGGTTTGTTTGAAGATATGTAATGCAGAATTTGGTGTGTTTGGCTTAAATTTATGAATATTATCAATTGGTTTGCTTCAGGGAGTGGGAGGGAGGGAGTTAATCTTCTATATAAACTTCATCTAAATCTTCACCTCATTAGTATTTAGTTCTTAATTGCATTTTGTGGTAATGGTTTGGCGAATTATGGTGAGAGAGTTAACAGTCCGTTTCACTTTCAACCAGCCATAGGTTTTAAGGCAATTTTGTGGTAATTTTCAAACAGCCCGTTACATTTCATTTGTGTTTTGTGATAATTTTGTGGTAAATGACGTATATCATTATGTTTTTCTGGTAGAGGTGCCATAATTCTGACTTGTGTTGATAGAATAAAGATCACATTTAGGTTATTGGGGTAATTCTGTTGTAAATATATCTGCCTAAATTATTACTTGTACATTTTTCTGTCTATTTTTGCATGCCTGATCATTTGAGTTTGTATTTATAATTCTTCGAGACCTTTAGCTTCTGACTACAGACCATGAATAGGAAAATGCCGACTGAAGAGAAAAAGAAACTTGGGATGGCTCTCACCCGATTGTCTCCTGAAGATCTTAGTAAGGCTCTTGAGATCGTTGCTGAGAACAATCCAGGCTTTCAACCAACAGCACAAGAGGTGGATCTTGATATAGATGCACAGGTAAAAATGCTTTGGTCCAATAATGAGTCTCTAATAATTCATCTTTTCTATATAGTTTGCTATGTCTTTGTAAGGCCGCAAAGCAGCTACTTAGGTGTATTCTCTTTTGTTTTGGATTCCACAGAGTGAATTAACTTTGTGGAGATTAAAGTTTTTTGTTCAAGACAAATTAAAACATGCCGGAAAGTGCTCTGAAGTTGTGGACTGCAACAATATAAATAATAATGAGAATACCGTCAAGAGCAACTCCAAAAGAAGAAGAGAGATGTCTGATGCTCTTACGAAGAATGCCATAAAGAGAAATAGGAAGCTCTCTCCCAACTCATGAGCTTCAGGTAAGTATTATACTGTTTGTCCTTCGGTTAACCATTGAAGTTGCCCAGTGTCTGAATATTATTGTTAAATGTAATGTGGTAGTGAGAATTGGAGTTATGGTGGTGGCAGAACTCGTTACAACTATGTGAAGGGTACATAAATTTTTATTACAGTCCCCTGTATATTTCTTTTCCTTTTTACCTTGTCATAAAATTGAAGGGTAAATAATGATATGCATTTTGTATTTGCTTTGCTTTATTTGCATTTTGTTTTTGCAATGTGGCACGCTGGGGTGGATGCGTTAAGCCTAGGAGAGCAAGTGTACATCCATTATTTTGAAAGAAAAAAATTGTTAATTTTAATCTAGTGTATTAAGCAGAGGGGAAAATAAGGGAATTTGCGTACTCATTTTTTTTTAGAAAAAAAAGGAGTATTGAAATTTTAGAGCTCAGTTTTTAAATTTCTGGATCCATCATTGGTGGTATGTCTAAGATCATATATCTTTTTTTTTCTTTCAATTTTTTGAAGAGTATAAGATTATTACAAATTAGTATTTATTCAAAAATAAATTAGTCCATTAACAATACACAGGCATTTTGTAAATACAATTGTTTAAATTTATGTTCTCCTAGAAAATGGCATTATTTTTTTTATCATCTTTTTGGCGTGGAAATCATTTAATAGGTTTGATTGTCTATATCTTTAGATCCTAACAAAGGTGAGGTAAACCAACCAATTCTGATATTAAATATCAAGAATTGCAATCGTTAACATGCAAGATGTTCTTGCTTAGTTTTTTAGTGTTTCATTTTTTTTGTTTTGATATAATCACCGGTATCCAATCTATTGATCGACCAATCCAGATTGGGCATTGCAGAGGCAAGGGCGACTCTCCTAATCCAGTTTATTCGCAATCGTCAGGATTTAAATTCTTAACCTTACTTAAAGGATCTAGTGTCTCATTTCATAATTATCGGTAGTTTTTAGTGTTTCGATCAATAAAATGCCTCCTAAGTTGAAGAATATGTGAAATCTTGGTATCCATTCAAATTCTAGTGTGCAATCACTTAATGGCACATTACTAATGCTTCAAGTCATCATACAACAGCTCTGATGTCAAACAGAACGATCTACGTCGAGTCGAACAGAATTCCTTTACCCTCTATTTGTCCCCCCATGCGTGCTCCTATTTGCCACGTGGATTACATTGATTCGTTATTAACTTAAGCTTAATATTCGTATAAAGGGCAAAAAATTTCTGCCTCTACTAAGTTCGGTTTTAAGCTTAATATTCGTATACCATTTAAATATTTTTATAATTTATCTAAATATGTAATTAATTTCAATCACAATTTAATCTAAATATTAATTCTATTAACCCTATAACAATGATATATTTTGGTGCAGTGGGTGAAGGTTGATTTATCTTTAGGTCCCATATTTGATTCTTTCCAAATCCAATTCATATTTTCTTTAAAAATTTTGCATCCATCGGAATTCAACATAAATATTATTTTTGTGAATCCTATAATAAATAATGAATAAATATATTTTTGTCAATTTCGTAATATTGGATATCAAACTTAAAAGAGGCCGCCTACGATATAAGATAGTTGTAAAAATTATGAACATCCTTATTGCCAGAAACATTTTAAAACAAACAAACAAAAATGCAGTCTTAGATCAGTGATATGGTGCCAGTCTTAAATTCTTTGATATACAGCGAAGCATAACGTAAAAAAACTAATCCAACAGATCAACCATTGATGGTCTTATCTGTCTACTGAAACGCTTACATCAAGCATATTATTCTAGGAAATTTCCTGACGAAACTGCATAACTATTATAAGCTAAAGGGATACAAAGGTCATGCCACTTGCTTTTGGAAGTGATGGAGCTGGTGGTGATGCTGATTGTGGTGCATATATTCAACACCACCATTGTTCTCCGATGCATTCACCGCCTCGGACAACCCCTTGGTCGGGTTTCGGGTTAGCTCGAGCAACGAGTCCCTCACATGATCAGCCTGAAGCATCTCACAGTTTTTCTACCACCAGACAGGTAAATTCATAGTTGATCTCATAAATTTATATGCACTACATGTTCTGAAATGAATTACCTCTACTTTGAAAACATTTGAAACAAGGCCTCTGAAGCTGTTTACATTTGCATTTGTTACTTCCAACCCCAATGAATCCAAAGCCTCCATTAATCTCACAAATCCGCCTGGTTTGTGCTCACTAAAAACTTTAACAAAAAACTGGTTCCCATTGATTTGGGCAACTTCAACTTGTACCTGAACATCCCATCTTTGTTAAATTATTATTTTAACACCAACAAAGGGATGAGAATATATGTATTTGATTTGATTTTACCTCCATTTGCTGTGTCTTGTGGGTACAAAGGTCCACATCAGGAAAGCTATGGGGTCCCTTATCATGTTCCGGGTTAGAATACAGAGGGATTTGATCATTTTGTAAGAAAATATCAGACTGAAACTTGTTATGGATCCCATTGTTGCCTGTTTTCTTAGCACCATTGTTGTTATCCGAATGTTCTTCGAGTTCATCTTGGAGTTCTTTCTCTTGGTTTTGCAATTCCTTCACGAACTCAATCGCATCTCCAAGGATTGAAGCTCTATCCAGCTAACAATAATGAATGTACAGTGTCAAAACATATCTTTTTTTGTCTTAAGTTACACAAGACAATTGATGACTAAGTGTACCTTTGAGATTTTGGGAACCAAAGATCGAAGAGCATAGAGTCTTTCATTAAGCTTCTTCCTTCTTTTTCTCTCAGCAACAAGGTTTTTGGACTGCCCTTTGGACCCTGCTCTCCTTTGGTATCTTGCATCATCTTCATCATCGTTCTGATCACTGCAATCCGAAATCGAATCCGACCGTCTGTTCTCTTGTTTGATAGAATCCTTTTCATTCCCTTGGATGACGATTGATTCATTGGTCATCATTGAATTCAATGGATCCATCTCTTGAAGTCCATTATTATCCTTATGTGGGTTAACAACCTTGTCTGAAATGAAAACATCATGAGACCCTTCGATGCATGCATCGATATGATTGGTTTTATCTTCTGAATGATAATGATACTGCTGCAGGGTGTTTGTCGATCGAATTTGATCAATGGAGATGTCATACGGTAGGTTCAGCGTTTCGAGTGTGGTAGCCAATGGCGGTTGGAAATGGTTCACGGAATCCTTTTCATCATTCCCATTGCTCGAAAGAGGATTTGCTTGAAACTCATTCAATGAACGGGATCCAAGTACATTCAAATGTGTATCAATGGAACTTGAATTCATCATTGAGATTTGCTCCAATGAGATGTTGCAGAGGGTCACAATGTAGTCCATGAGAATTTTGTCTTCACATACCTGTTGTAAGAACATTTAAATTTTCTCGAAACATAATCTGCTTAAAACCAATGAGAAAAACAACATAAACTACGTACTTGTTTGGCAACAAAAAGATCAACCAATCCTTCTGCAACTGGAATCAAAATCCTAGTTCCAACTATATCCTGCAAAAATATTCTAACAACATCAAAAAACTTGTTTTTTTTTCCCGAAAATTTTTAAGAATAAGACTTGAAGATGTATTAGTTACTAACCTCAAGAACATTTGAATCCGAATTAGAAGAGAAGTTTAACCAGTTGGGTTGATTTGAAATCAAGGCTTGTGCATGATTTCTGTTTAGTGTAAAATCATCAAAAACACCCATAAAAGACGAAGGAGATAGGATGAAAGAGAGAGAGAAACGTTAAGGTAACAATACCCAGAATCTAAGGGCATGCTAGAAGGAAGATGGGCGAGCAATTCACAGGATCTGGTTTTAGGATGCTGAAACATCACATCCCTGCAAGGAAGGACTGAAGTAACAGGAAATTGAAGCTCTCCACCACTTTCAATACTCTCAGTTCCACCACAACAGCAATCCACCCATTCAATAAACCTGGACAAATCCCCCACAAACAATGTTCATTAACATTGGTGCATACATAAGAAAGTGAGATATATGTATGTATGTATGTATGCATGTTTGTATTGTCATCACATGCATGCAACACACCATGGTTTAAACTCTAACCTTTGATCATCACTCAGTTTCCAGAGAACGCAATAGTCCCATCCTTTAGGACCCACCAGCTGCCGTAGTCTCTCCATGAGGTTTTGAAAGATATTCATCCTATTGACGTTCAATGAGGTTTTGACGAGGGGGACGGGAAACGGACAATGCCAGACAAAACAAAGAAGTAAACCAAAGATGAGTACAAGGTGGAGTTGATAGCAATGGTTAACTGCATCACCATCCAATTCAAACATACTCTTACCTCTTCCTTAAACTAAAAGAAAGAACAAAATCTTAATACCCTAAATTGAAGAAAGACTCGACTTTTAATGAACCCCCTCGTCAATGTCTCGCATTATTTTTATATGTAGAAAGAAAGTTTATTTTATTTTTGTTATTTGGTAGGTGAAATGCAGTGCATGAGAAAGAAGTTCAAGCTTGGTACATCACATATATACATAAAATATACGTACGTATATATATTTGAAGTGTATAAATTAAAGTAAAGAAATGAGAGATATATTGAAGGAGCAAATATTGCATGACCTAAGATTACGTATAAAACTTTAGCTATCTGCTTTATAAGTTTGTTGAATTTTGCTTATGGGTGTCTCGTGTCTCAACTACTCTCCTCTCTTTTTCTTTCAAACTAAACTAATTAGAGGAAGCCGTACATTCGCCAGTTGTGTTCAGATTAGGGCAAAAAATCTCAAGAGCCTGTTGGTTCCCCATTTGGAGGAAATTATTAACTGTTCATCCATATATTTTTGACGTTACAACCATGTATTAATAACTGCACTTTATCTTTTTAAAAGTATTACTTGGAAATTTTACGTAATTTAAACAAATTAAATGATCTAAGCCTAGAATGAATTTTGCATATAATAAACGTTTGAGATAAGGTTATCTTAGCAAAGTAATGACCCACATTATTAGCGTCCTACTAGGTTTAGAAAAAGAACTTAACATTCAAACATTCATAAATTAGAGGCTGACGAAAAAAATTATCTCTGACAGAAAAAAAAACTTTGAAAATTAAAATTAAAAATTAACAAAATAGACAACCAAGATTTTACTTCACTTTGGGAAAAACCACGGTTAGATGAGGAGAAAATTCATTGACATGAATAGGAAAGAATACAAGAGGTTATGGACAATATAATATCTAATTCTAACTTTTAATATCTATTTATAAATATAGATACTCGATCACAAAAGAAACTAAATAAAGTAAAAAGTTACTTTATAAAAAACTATTTTTAATAAATTACTCTATGTTAATAAAGTTTTCTACTTTTAATCAAACTATGTTTACTACTTTCTCAATTAAATTGGACCACTTTGATTTCAAGTCAAACTTTAACAAATCTCTACCTTGACACGAATTCTGAAAATACAAACGATTCGAGACAAAACACATAAATTCGGTGAGACACAAAAAATAATTTTTCAATTTAACGAACAAGTCATCCACTTCTTCCACAAAACGCTTTAGAGGAATATTCTTCAACAATGATTGTTAACTAAATCTAAAGTTAGCCAAAACTTGGCTTTAGTCTTCACATCAGTAAGGAAATCATAAGTGCTAACTTCGCTCAAACTTGTTCACTGCAAGTTTTTCTTCTATTTTTTTTCCGATATACTCATGGAACTAAATTTTCTTCTTCTCGAATCCGTTATGGCCACATAACTGAACTTTCTTTTTCTTCTTAACTTTTTATGTCCATAGAATAGTTGTTTTGTTCAACACACAATTCTCATTTACTACGAAGGGAAAATAATATTTCATCTTCTATAATTGTTGAACCCTGCAGAATATAAAACTTGGTAGTCTTTCTCTACTCTTTTATCAGAATAATATAACTCTTGCAAATTCATATACCTCTACCTTTCACAATTTGAATTTAGGGTTGCGATCCAACAACTACTTCTCATACTTTGAAGATGTCAATATCGTGATCGAATCAAACAACTCAGGCGCTTTGATATTAATTTGTTATAAGATTAACGACATGCGTAATAATCGCTCAATAAAATAGACGCCGAGATTTTACGTGAAAAATCCTTTTGTGAAAAAAACCCTTTTGGGAAAAACACAAAGAGAAGAAGATAAAATTTAATGATGTCAAGAGAAGAATAATATAAGGGGAGTTTTCATATACAACATAATATCTAACTCTAACCTTTAGTATCTATTTAGAGAGATATATAATTGATTACAAACAAAATTAAATAAAGTAAAAAGTTATTTTATAAAAAGTTACTTTAATAAAATACTCTAGTTTTAATCAATTTTATTACTTTCTAAATTAAATTGCATCATTGATACAATTTGAATCTATTTTTAACAATTATTATATAAAATCTGTACAAGATCATATATAAAGTAAACATTTATCCTCCTAAAGTATTGTAAGTTATTGGATACCGCCATCACCTGCTCCAAATTTTAGGTGTACAAATTCTTAAAGAGAATTTGATAATTTAAAGGAGAATATTCAGTGCAATGATTTCATCAATCGGGATAAATCTATTTTTAATACAGTAGTTCATTGTGACATAATTTTTTATTAATTTGTTTGATTTAATTTTTTATCTATTTTATCGGTACTAACGCCTTATTTTTACAGTATTATTACCAATATTATTCAACATCGGGTTGCTTAGTTTATGAAGAGGATCGATTAGAATTGGAATTCTTTTGTCCGAATGGCTCCAAGTGAACCTCATTACTTTCACAAACGTCGAATTCATTTCTCCATCTTCCATTACTTTCATTCCTCTTTCATTGCTATAATTGATACATTTTTCATTAATTCAAGGCTCTCAACCACGTCCAAAATCTAATCACTCATTCAATTCTTGGGTTGATTCACTCCTTTACTTCCCGTTTGGATCTTCTTGTGCTTTTAAAATCTTTACCATTTGAAATATTCTAATCATTTCTCTATCTTATTTTCCTCTATATCCTTTAGTTCAAATTCTTTCTTCCAAATAACTTCAAGCTAAACCTTGCAAGTGCTGCAGTTGAGAAGGCTTGTCATGATCAGTTTAATTAATGAAACGAAAACCCCAATCATGTCCGAACCCCACTGCTGCAAACAAGTATAAATTCATGCTTTTTCATATTTATGGTTGGAATTCAATAATGGTGTCTACTAGCTAACTATCAATAATTGCTAGATAAGGATAGAGCAGCCATTCCCAACCAAATAAGTGGCAAGTTCCCATTAATTGCCCTCTCCAACTTATCAGGCAATTAAAAGCTGGTCCATTGCTCGATATTCAGCGCCCATTATTGATCGTGAAGCCATTAATTCTTGCCATCGCTGACTTCAATAATAGCTCGATTCTGTTCCCATTGGCCTCAAGGATCAATAACAGCAGTTTATATATGTATCTTAAAGGCCAACCTCTTTATGGTTGAAAAGCCATAAAGCCAGCTAAGATACCAAACACTAAATAAGCAGCCGATTATGTGGTTAAAGATAAAGCTATGTTCCATAATTAATGTAAAGGTTTTCATGCAGTTACAGCTGCTTTGATTATATATATACATGATAGATACAAGGCAAAAACTGTAGGAAGATGGCCGGAACTGGAAATATCAGTGTTGTTGAAGATGAGGAAAATGTATACACTGGAACTAGAGTCCGACCCTTTGTCCCCACACCAAGGCAAGCCTCACTAATTTTTTTACGATTTTTGCAGTTTGTAGAAGATCAAATTGTACATTCTTCAAATAAATTTGCAGGGTAGAACAAAGGAGAGTTGGGGATCATGAGAAGAAGCAAAATCCCACAACCTTGAACAGTATTTTATCCCCCAAAGAGCTTTTCTCCTTGGAGGTATCTGGATTTATGTATTTACTTTGTGTACTTATTTGAGGGCATTACTAATCTCAGGGATTTAAGTTTGGACCGCGTTTTTGTCTCCGTTACTTTTGTTGCGGTTACAGACGGATGCTATTATAGTTACTACGGGTATCGTAGTAGTGTAATAACGATTTCTGTTCTCACTTTATTGCCGCTATTCCGATAGCAGACCACCTGTCTAATCTTACAGTGCTACTGAATTGTCAGGTTTGGAGAGCATCTTTGGCAGAGCTCCTTGGAACAGCAGTGTTGGTGTTTGCAATGGACACCATAGTCATCTCCTCCTACGAGACACAAACAAATATGCCGCACCTTATAATGTCATTTCTTATTGGTGTCACCATCACAGTTCTCCTCCTAGCTACGTTTCCCATCTCCGGTGGCCACATCAACCCCGTCATCAGCCTGGCCGCGGCGCTTTCCGGTGTTATTTCGCTCTCACGCGCCGTCGTATATATATTGGCTCAATGTGTTGGGGGAGTTCTAGGGGCACTTGCATTGCAAGCTGTGGTAAACACCAACATTGAGCAAACGTTTTCTCTCGGTGGCTGCACACTCACAATTGTTGTGCCGAGTGCAACCGGTCCTTCCGTTATCGGTCTCCGAACGATCCAGGCGTTATGGCTCGAGATAATTTGCACCTTTGTGTTCCTCTTTGGTTCCATATGGATTGCTTTTGATAAACGTCAGGCCAGGCACTTGGGTCGAGTTGTAGTTTGCTCGATCATCGGTGTCGTGGTCGGCCTTATCGTGTTTATATCGACGACTGTAACTTCCGCCAAGGGCTACGCCGGGGTTGGGATGAACCCGGCAAGATGTTTGGGGCCGGCTTTGATTAGAGGCGGCCACCTTTGGAACGGACACTGGGTTTTTTGGGCGGGACCTGCCATTGCTTGTGGAGCGTTTGCTCTTTATACAAAGCTCATCCCAAGTGAACTGTTGCATAACTGAATGCCCCAAACCACGATGTCAAAAATAATATATATATATATAGAGAGAGAGAGAGCTCTTCATTTTAGGTTAATCTAAATGGTGTAAGAATATGAATAATTTCTCGTGTTTTTCAAGGATGCTTATGGAGATCCATCCAACTTTAAATGAACATTATTTTCTTCATAAGTGTGAGAGTTTTACATCCTATAGTACACATTTCTTGAGCTTATATCAAATTTATCGAATAATTTTAAACATAGATAAATTACACGTTTATTCACTAAATTATATTTTTTCTTTTATTTTACTCACCGTATTTTTAATTTTTTTAATTTGCTTATTAAACTTTTTCTGTCACTTAACCGTTAATTTTCAGTCGTGTTATGATGTGAATTATTTAAATATTTTTTAATAATTAAAAATAAATAAAAATTAAGATAATTAAAAAATTCATTTTTATTCTTTCTTCTTCCACCTCTTCCCGTTTTCTCTCGAATTTTCTCAACTTGTACAAACCCAAATTCCGGTCACCATGCCAGTTGTCGTTCTGACCACCACCACCCATCTTCGTCGGAAATCAATAATTCTCAAAATCCCATCTAACACGTCTCACCATTTTAAATACAAATTTGACATTCTATTAACTGAAAAAACAACTCAAACCCTAAATCCCAAATTTTAACCCCCACCCCTCCCTCATCATGGTAGCACCTTCATGGATGTTGATGATGAATGCTCGTTTCCATTTCGAACCTGTGGATTCGTAGGCATTTGAATGGTGGCCTCAGAGTGCTCGCACCAACTGCATCTTCTTTTGCATCGTGGCGTCCTTGATCCTATTTGACCCCTAACACCATCGCCTCCTCTTCATTTCTTGTCTATTATCCAAATTTAGAATACAGATTCAACACAAAATGATTAATGAATGATATCTTTTGTTTTAAGAAGGAAAAAGAAAATTGATCAAGCTTACCTTGGAAAAACTTACTTTCGATTTACCTTCAGCTTTGTATATCATTTGGGTTGTGGTTAAAATCATGAGAAAAAGAAGGAAAATAAAACAATGTCTCCTGCAAACCATTTTGTGTGGATGGAAAGAACAATGGAAGGAGATGAACTAAATTGTTAAAAAATAAGATAACAAAGAGGGTGGAATAATAAATGGGAGTGAAGAAAACAATCACTGAATCGACCTTGAGAAATAAATGAGCATCGGAAAATATAAAATAGCATTAATAAAATGTTAATTGAATAATAAAATAATAAAATAATAAAAAAGTGGCAGGTCATGTTAAGAATTAAACGGCGGAGTTAAAAAAAAATTAATGTCTAAAATTTAGTAAGTAAATTGAAAAAATTGAAAATATAATGAATAAAATAAAAGAAAGAGTAAAGTTCTATAAGTAAGTGTGTAATTTACCCTTAATGATAAAATATAATGTTATTAATCTTAAAATATCTAATTCAAATAGTTGTATCTGAAAAGTATATATACATTATCAATGAATTAAATTTTTTTAAATAAATATTATATTATAATTATCTTGAACTATTAAAAAAAATAGAAAAAGAGCTTATAACATGTCACAAATACGATCCTAAACTCGTAGCGATTTGATCCGTTGAAAATCAACATAGGACTTGTGCGTAGGGATCGGTGCACTAAACTTTCCAGAGACCATTGCATATCTTCTATTTTAAAAGAAATTGTTAAAATCAGTTTAATATATTAAGGGGATAAAAAGATTTAAAAAAATACAAATTCATCTTTAAAAAAGATAAATATTAAAAATTTTACTCTATTTTTAAATTCGTCCCTCTGGTTCTTACAGTGAATAAATTAAATTACAAATGATAGGGTGACATAATAACATACAGAGTGTATTAACATTAAACATAATCGCATCTGTAATTAACTGACATCATAGCTTTCAGCATAATGTCATACAGATCAGTGTACTTGAACACATAATGTGATAATTTAATATCCAATTAAGTTATAACGTATTACGTTTATATATATATATATATATATTCAATGTGTGAATTTTATTTTAAAAATTAGGTTAGATTTTAGTTCAAATGATGGATATAGAGCATATAATGTTCAAATTATATTCAAATGAGTCAAGACCTAATTTAACTCGACTCATGATCATCCATACATCTTAGATAAGTGTAGATATTAATATGTATTAAAAAAATCTTAAAATTTAAAAAAGATAATATTACATATCTTATCCTACATAAATTTTCTCACAATATATGATCATTATTTCTTTTGCAAATATTTCTTAAAAAATAAGAAAAATATGAATAAACTTATAGATATCTTTTAATCTATTTTTTTAAATTTATTTTTAAAATACTTTTATAGATATATCCTTTATTTTATAGTATTTTTCTTGAATAAACAACACTGATGATCTCGTTTATTTTTTATCTGTTTAATTTTAATCATCGATTTTGAAAACAAAAATCAGTTTTGCTTATTTATATTTTCGAATTGTAACTTTTTGGTCATTCGGATGTCAATCTTCACTAAATTATTGACATTGACATGTTAACAAATTTGTTAATTTCTAATTTTAATACTTAAATTGTTGGTTGTAGAGTGCTTAATGTTAATTGTAGGGAATATGTGAGTTTGGGAGTAGAGTGCTTAATGTTGGGGTAGCGTGCTCATTTTGTCTTCAAGAGAATATCTAAAATAAAATATTAGAATATATAGCGCCACTTTAATGACAAAAATGTGAAGTATAAAAATGTTCTCCGACTATAGAACTTGTTTTGTTGAGTTTCTCAATTGTTAAAAATTATAAATGATCTTTTAACTATAGAAAGTTACTTTGTTAAGTTCTTGTAACATCCCAATCATCGGGTCAGTGACCAAAATGTAAGAACTTTTAAATTCATGGTTGAATTAGAATAATTTGATAAATTCAAAGATTTATGGAGGAATTTTTGTGTTGGGTATTATAGCAAACATGGATAGTTAACAAGGGTAAAATGGTAATTTACAGGGAAATATATTTTAATTGCTTTCTTATTGGATAAGTATGTGGTAAAAAGAGAGAAGTGTATAGAACTCTTTTTTTTCTTCTTCTTGCCGTGGACTTCATTGGCAAATGTAAGGTTTTGTAAATTTGATGATTTCTTTATTTTTTGGGTTGATTTTGGAAGCTTGGATGTTAAATAAGTTTAAGGAAAGCTTGAATAGGATTAAAACATCAAGAGGATTGATTAGACATGGATTTGTAAAATGGGTTTTAAGATGAATTTTTGATATGGTTTGGTTTTTAGAGTTTTGGTGGGATTTTTTACTTTTCAATGAGTAAATTAAAGGGTTAGGAGTATTAAAAATGATTAAGAGCTTGGTTGAAAACATGGCATGATTTTTAAATGTAAGTGTTTTAGTGAGAATTTGGTATGTCTAAGAGTAGTAATTGATGACAAGTTGGTTTGAATGAAAAAAGTTTAGTTTAAAGGCTTAAGGAATGATGTTATAATAGATTTGAGAGGATTTTTGGGTGATTTTCGAAGTAAAAATGGCAATTCTGGGCTTCGAGTATCGATACCGTTCGAATAGTATCGATACTTCAAGGGAAAAATCTGTGAAATTATTAAGGGTAGTATCCATACCGGTTGAAGGGGTATCGATACTGTATGAGTAGTATCGATATTGGTTGAAGGGGTATCGATACTGTATGGATAGTATCGATACCGGTTGAAGGGGTATCAATACTGTATGGGTAGTATCGATGCCAGAATGATGGTATCGATACCATTTTTAAGATGCAATTACAAAATGTTATATCGGTATCGGTACCATGAGGAGGTATCGACACCCTTGAAGGGAAGTATCGGTATTGTTGGGGTAGTACCGATACTTCTAAACATGAAATGGAAATTTAGGGTTTCTTTCATCATAAGTTATTCCTGATTGGATATTAATGAGTCGAAGAATGATATTGATTATTGGTGTAGTGTTTGAACGTATTCAACTTCCGGTCAGCTCGGCATATTGATTATCATTTTGGAAGGGTTAAGGATTTGGACTAGATTTCAGTGAGGCAAAGGTGAGTGCAACTTCTCGGTTTTGTAACAGAATTGAGGAAGGCTTGCAATATGCCAACCTCAGTGTTTTCGATCGAAAACTTTATAATTTCTTTATTTTTATATTGCAATATTTTATTCAATTTATATTATACAAGTTATGTTTTATGGTTATATGAATATGGAAATGTGAACTTTGAATAAGTGAATGTGAAAAGACTCTATGAGAGAGAAACTATGTGAATAAGAAACACTTCGAATAATGATTGATAATAATGATGTGATTAATAGCCCAAAGTATATGTATGAGGATTAGAGGTATAGTTGTCATGCCAAGAGTCGAGGGTTTTATGTGGTCCTTCGGGATAATTATGTAGTCCTTCGGGACAAATATGTGGCACTTCGGTGCAAACCTATGTGGTCATTCGGGACAATTATGTGGCATTTCGGTGCAAATTACGAGCTGTGGTGATAGCATTAGTGCACAACCTCAATTTACTCAAATACCTAGCGTTCTCAATAGTATACCTTGTGCATTTGGAACAAAGACATACAAAGTGAAACTATTCATAAGTATACTTTTGATATGCAAAATAATGAAAGTTCTTTGTATAACATTTCAAATAAAACAAATAAGATTTTGTTTACTAAGTTAGCACTATTAGTATTGCCTCACTAAGTCATCGACTTAGCGTGTGATTTTCTCATGCGTAGGTTTGAAGAAAACACAAGACTGAGTTGTGGATGATAGCATATCATCAGAAGATCAGATCAGGACAAATTAAATGTAGATTTTTCTGTTAATTTTTATAAACTATTGGCATGTATTATACTTTTAATTTGAAATGCTCTGATCAATTTTGTAAACTCTTATATTTTTGGTATTTATGTAAATTATTAAGTTTTTATGTAAAAATGTATGTGAAATGACTATCTTATTAAATAAGTTTATATCTTTTTATTTTGATTTAAAATTTTAATTTTTGTTCCTATTTGTGACTTGCATATGTTTTGAAAAGT